TGGAGTTACCATAAAGCTGGCAACTTAGCCACAGCTTAGGGGAGATTAGGCTATCTAAGATTTCATGACAGATGACATTAATATTTAGAAATTTCGGTGTATCCAGTAATTCAAATGCAAACTGTTAATGCACCTTGCATAGTCCAACAAGGCAAGTTATGACTTTTTGTGAAAATTTTGGGTTTTAATTATCAAGTCATACTAACATGGAGTTTACTAGATTCATTTTCAGTGCTGATTTAATTAGCTGTGTCTGTGAATTGGTTTGCTTTCCTCTGTTGTCAGATGTACATTCTTTGTAAAATGTCAGAGGGATTCTTTTAAAAATGCAGCCAACGCGAGTAAAGTAGATGCTCCTTTTCCAACCTTCTAGCATCACGATACTGGAATCTCTCATTTTGAAAGTGCTATCCTGAAGTAGCCTCCAGTGGCTTTATATTTCTTCCAGAAGCTACAGCACGTCCAGCTTCTAATAGTTGAACCTGAGCTTCAGTCAGAGGCTCGGTTGTTGCCCTGATACAGAATGGCAGCCCACTCTCTGAAAATATATTGATCAGATTTTCTGGGAGTTTTGTTTAACTAGCAACATTAGCAACCTTCAGCGTTAGTACTAAATGTCATGAAGGGACCATCTTATCAATATCTTTCTGCAACAGTATTGACTATTCAGTTTGTACAATGAAAATCTGAGATTTGAAAGAATTCTTTCTTTTTGCCCCTGATATATACATCAAGCCATCAAATACATTATTGCTGGGATTGGATTATTCTCAGTTATAGATGTCCAAGTGACTGTAGCTCTAGAAAGCTTCTTTGACAACTGGGATGGGCTAGGGTGTAGGAATGGGCAATGGGTAAGTTCCCTGGAGATATAAGTCAGCACAGCTTCATTGACCTGGTGAAATTGTTAGGATTTATAGGCTTTTCTCAACTGCTTTGTATAAGCAGATAAAGTGAGATGGCGGGATCTCCCCCTTTCCTACTGGGCTAGTGTATTCAAATTAACACACAGCTTGAGCATTCTTAATGTTGATGAGTTCAATTTGCATACATTAAACCGAATTAAATGGCAACAAAATTTATTTTGTGCAAAAATAACATCACTGTTAGTAAATTATAGTTCTCTTATGAAGTGGGTATGAAGTAAAAGGTCCTGAGCTGGACCTTCAGTGTGCCAAGTCTGTGGTTTCTCTGTTGTAGCTCTGTTGGTCTCAGTGCTGCCAAACCATTTACTGCTCGTTCTGTGTCTGGTCCAGATGCATTACAGCATCGCAACAGATCTTGTGGGAATAGCGACAGTTCAGCACAACAGATCCATATGTAGCAAAATCACTGGACAGATTCAAGTTGTTCCTCTTGGACTGAATTTTTTAGCTTCTTGGCTGTTCTAGTATTCATCTCTTTGTGAAAAAATAACTTCAGAGTAGAATGCCCCATCTTTTGCTTACCACGTGTCTTAGGAATTGGTACATTTCATACTGAAAATTGAAGACTCTCTGAAATCATGGGTGTTTAAAGGGATTGCAATTTTGATTGATAATTTCATGGATAATAGTTTTAAAACTGATGAAGTGCCTTTGTATTTATCAAAACTGGCTTGTGAAACTCATCACAAGTTACCACAGAGGCTAAGAGTTCAGCAGATTTCAGAGAAGGGTGTCTTTCAGGTATTCAGATTTGTTAGAAATCACCCCAAGCTTGAATTTCATGGAGAACTCAGACATTTGTGCTTTAGGACTGAATCCCACTTTCAGCTCTCAGTATACTTTGAAAACCATGTGTGAGTTATCCCAATGCTGTTTATCACAGTTTTCCCTTCAAAGTATACAGCATCAGGGCATTACTGCAGACTGCTCTGCATTCGTATGACCTTTAATCAGCTACAGCTTCACTGTAGTGCAGGATTCACTATGTTTGAGATGTCTTGTAAAGAAATAATGTATTCATGTTGTGTAACTGAATCACACTTGGAATGTATTTTGGGTGATTTCAGGTATTTTATTATCATATTATGTAGAATTCTACAAATGTAATTCTAAATATGGTAATGCATATAAAAACAGTTGAAATAATGAACAGTATGAAAGGAGAGGAGTCGAGAAGAGCAGAACAAGGGGCCAAAGAACCACTTCAAAATAAGTACTTGGGATTTTTTTTTAATTACTATTATTATCATTTAGCTTTTATATTCAAGGGTTAACAATCCACAATAATTTGTTCCTTACCTTTTCCCAACATTCCCACAGGCCTCTTAGATCTGCAAATAAATGAAAAAATATCAATTTAGGCAGCTAAAATACAGCTTTTTAATTTCTCTGTTGGATCCTTCAGGCATACCCTGTGGCTCAACCTTTTTTCTGAAGGTCAAGAGTGTTTTATTCATCTGATATAAGTAGCTTGAGTGTGGCATTTATAACTTGAGTAATGTTATGGATGATAACACCATTAGACATTTTTACAGCTTCAGCTGGAGTTCAGCCAGCAGGACTATCAGCCTGATAAATGCTTTCATCTTAAAGGTTGTATTGCTACAATGACCCCAAAACTTAAAGCTGCTCCTTGAAACCTATAGCCTGGCTAAAGAGATGAAGAGTGCCCCCTGACATTTCTGGGTTGCTAAAGAGTTCTCTCAGATTCCAGTGCAATTAAGATGCCCACGTGCAGCTGTTCTGATCTGAATCGGAAATTATTGCAGGACTTGATAATTTTATATGAATTGAGGGCAGTGCTACTCGAAAGAATTAGATGTAGGTTGAGATGAGATTGAACTCTGGCATTTTGTTCCTGCCCAATTATAAAGTGTTTCTACAGGATTCTAGGAAGCAGAACTCTTATACTGCTATTTTCAGAAACAATAGAGTTTCACCTCCTCTGTTTGGGTATTTTGCAGTTATAAAACCCCTAGGATGCCAATAAAAAGCTAATCTTAGTGTAGACTGAAAGTGGAGCAAGAAGCTAGCAATGACAGCCAGTAGGATTTTGGGTTTTGTTTTGTGGAGATCTGAACAAGAGTGGTTTTGATCTGAAAGTAGAGAGTGAAAGTGGTTGTGCACTGATTACGTGTGTAAAAACAGTTGAAGTAATGCACAGAGTGAAAGAAAATGGGAAGATACAAGTGGAAGAAGAGTAGAATAAAGGGCCAAAAGGGAAGGGAGTGTGAGATGAACAAAGGCTGAGTTCTTGCTTTTATAGCTAAGAATAATAAGCAAACTTTAGCCACTGTTTTAACCCAGCAGTTATTTAATACAGAAACATTTGTAACATGTAGTGATTACACTTAAGGAAGTCAGACACTGTTTATTCACTGCTTCTTTTAATATGAAATAACTCCATTGATTTTCTTAAGATTTTAATGGCTTTGCTGAAGTTCCTCTGTTATGCTGCTATTCTAGTTTACAACCTTCTGTTTCCTGATCATCACCTTGATCATAGGAAAAAAAATTAGTGCTTCTTATTTTTGACTGAGACTTTTGAAGCTATGCTTCCTTTCTGAAACTTTCAAAAGTGCAACCATGACAATTGCTTCCTAGGTAAGTACTGTTGTATAAGTCTGATATAAAACACAATTTGAATGCTGCAAGTCTGGCACAACATCTCAGAAGGAAGATAGAAAGGAAAACCTCTGACAGTGGAGGTCATCAAGGGTGATTGGAGGCTTTGAACTACAACTGTATGGGGAGTTCCTAAGTAGGCTGTGATCCTTCAGCTTGGAAAAGAGATGACTGAGGCATTAGATAATAGAGGTCTATAAAATTGTGACCAATGTTGAGAATGTAAGTAGGGAACAATTACTCTGTGTTTCTTTTAGGGTTAAGAGGTAAAGGTTACCAAGTGAGATTATATATTATCAAAGAGAAGGGAGTCTGTATTGCTGGAAGGTACATGAGTGTGCAGAGGAGACGCCTGCTCAGTGCATCCTGTTGTCTGACTCTTCCCCAGACACTTGGCCATTGTTAGAGATAAGATACAAGGCTAGCTGAATTTTTGATCTGGGCATATAATTGTTAGAATCTACAAGCACCAGAAATGGTTGGTGGACTGAAGGGCAGGTATAAGATTTGCCCTACCTTTTAGCTTCATTTTCAATACTGGCTAGTTTTCAAGTTGATGACTGCCTTTGAGTTTGCTTCAAAACATATTTGCCTCGTATAGAATTATGGGGTAGCAGCAGCGGCCTCGGCTCATGCATTTATCGTTTTGTGGATTTTTTAATCCTTGTTTCCTGATATTTTTCTAAAATTCATCAAATATGCAGGATCTTAACTTGCTTAAAGCCTCAAGACAGAAAATGCTTATATAAGAGAAACTGTAGATTTGAGTCAATGTGACTTCAGTCAGCTCACATTGGCTGTGGAGTAGTTTAGGGACAAAACTTGCATTATCCATTTTGTATTTGAAATGGTGGGTTGAAGCTTTTCTTCATCTCTTCCTGAATTTGTAACATATTGCTTTCCTCTTGGGTTATAATAATCTACTTCCAGTTGATTGATCATACTGCTTTTATGCCTCCATTTTTGGAAGGCATTCTCCCACCTTCTCTCCGCTCATCAGCTGAATAACCTGTGCTCCTCTATTCAGCTTTCTATTTCTCACGAGCTGTTTGAAATCCTTGATAAGACCTCATCTTTGTCAGCTGCGCCTTTTGATATTGTTAAGACTGATGCATACCAGGGTTTCTGCCACCAATTTTAGAGCTTTCTGTATAATTCAAGAATACTGCAGAGTCTGTGGTAGCTCTTCTGCTGGCTCACTTCGGTGGTAGTAATGGCCAACTTCAAATGAAGTATATAATACTTCCTTATGGATTTTAGGAACTTACCTCTAGACCCTGCTGCTTTGACTTCATCTTTATATACATCTTTAGTTGCAGTGTCCTTCTGTGGCACCATTTCATATTCAGTTAGTTTCCAGCGTAGCTGGTTAATTACAAGATGCATTTGAAGGAGGGTCCAGTGGCTGAGGCTTGGTGGGACTGAGGGCTGTTCTCTTATTTTCAGGTGCTGTTTGGTACCGCTGATGGACAGGTTATCGTCATGGACTGCCATGGCCGAATGCTGGCCCATGTGCTCCTTCATGAGTCAGATGGCATCCTCAGCATGTCCTGGAACTACCCCAGCTTCCTGGTGGAGGACAGCAGCGAGAGCGACACGGACTCCGATGACTATTCCCCACCACAAGGTAGTGCACATACTTCTGTTTCAACTTTGCAAGCACTCACAAAGGCCACATTTTTAAGCTAGTACAGGCTGAAAGATGGTGTGTTCCTGTGGTGGTAGCATGGGAAATAGAGCAGAGAGCTGATATGGGAATGTTGGTTTATCCCCAGCTCTGCCTCCATTTGCATAAATGAAGTAACACCACAAAACTCAAAGTTTTTAGTGAGAGTGAGTGACAAACGCTAGATAGGGGCATATCAAGTTTCACTGATGAGTAGATGTGAGGTATTGCAATATTTATGGAGGGAGTGAGAGTGCAGTCACAGAAGTTAATGCATTATTATAAAGATTCATGTGAGAAAACACCAGTACTAGACACAGCGGAAGGTACTACATCTTTAATTTTTTTAAAAAGCTATGAAACAGAGATAATGCTCATCATTATCGTCCCATCCTTAATAGACCTGACACAAAGAGCTCAAAATTCCATAGAATTATTGGAAATGAAAATATTTGCTGCAGTTACACAAGGTAGAAGAATGGTGACTGGAGCAGTCTGGAGTTAGTAATTCCCACGCTTCAGAGCGCATTGCCAGTTTGAGGGTCAGGAAGAAATCCTTCCCTCCCCTTAAGTATAAATGTAATTCATTGGATGAAATATTTTGGCTTTAAGCTCCCTGGAAATCATCAATAGCAAAGACCTAGGAGGCCTAAGTATCCATGCACAGTCAGCTTCATCCTTCTTATTCAAGTAATGCTAATAGTTCTTTTTGTTAATGCTGTTGATTACTCTGTAAGAGCTAGGTAAGCTGTTTCAGTGTTCCAGTGTATAAAGCCTGAATTAAATGAAGAACTAAATTAATATAACAGTGATTGTACAATGAAAAAAATAAATACATAATAGCTAGAAATAATTCTGAATTTGCATATCAGATCTGAACCACTGAACTGAGGACTCGTGCATTTTAACTCTAATGTGGATTCAGACCAAAAATCTGCCTTTTCCAGAATCGTGTATATATGTAAATATAATAAGCATAAGTATTCATAAGTATTCAAAATGATGATAGAATAATGATAGAAGATAATGTGATCATCTGGTGAACAATGTTAGCATCTTTAAAAACTGGATTTTGTTTTGGCTTTCATGTTTCATTTTTGATACTGGGTGAGATTTCTTACCTTAGAAGAAAAGAAGCAAGAAAAGGAACAAAATTAAATTGGTTTTTCTGAAATACTCAGATTCTAGTTGAAGGATGGTGAAGATGCAGAGTGCACAGATGAGAACTTAAATGATCCAAATGCGCTAGCTTTTTTCTGAGTCAGTCACGGAGTGGGTGGACTCGTTAGAAGCCTACAAGCCTATTTTAATGATTACCCAAACATGATGTGTTTTCTTTAGAGCAGATGCAGTGTAAACCTCTCAAAGGTGACAAGCCTTTGACTCACACAGATGTGTAGGAAGGCCTGGAAGTTTGATGGGTTTTTCTTATCAAATCATATACACACAGAGATGCTAATTACTAGACATCTTTCTCCAAAGTGCTTTTTCGTCAGCTTTTTTACAAGTTCAGGAAGCAATACTACTCTTAACTGACTCTGACTGACAAGATGCTGGTTGGGCCTTGAGGAGCACTTTACCAGGGACCAGCGGCACCTCCTGTCAGAACTTGTAAACAAAGTGAGTTAAACTGCGAGGGCTACAGATAGTAATACTGGTCACTAACTATTTGAACAAGGGCATTTCAGTGAATGCTGAAAAACAAGCCCAGAGGAGCTGGGCAGAAATGGTTTTTAAAGCCAAGTGTTTCATTTGGGCACGTCTCTACCTCTGAGTGCATTGGATCTTGCTATGGACGTTGGCAGGTAACCTTTCATGCTACTGCCCAGCTCTTAACATTTAGAATACGGTAATTTGTGAAAGGTCAGTATATTCTCTTAGAAGTTCCTATAATGTCTCTACATGCCTTTAGAAGGAGTCCCTAGCCAGCTGCCCAAGCAGAAAATTTATCTAACAAATAGCTTTTAATGTGATTATGTTCGTTTATTGCGCTGGTTTTCAACTTGGGTCCCAAGGAAGCCTTCCAAGGCGTTGGTTTTCAACTTGTGGATGCTTTGGGGAGTTGACAGTGGAGAAAGATTGAAAACCACCACTGTATAACATAAAAAGCGTATCCATAAATCACTTTGGATATACTGCAGTAAAAATTCACAGAGTAAAAACACTGGGGTTTCACAAAAGCAGGCAAGCTAACTGCCTAAACCTGCTTTGCCTTTACCCATAGACACTGTAGAAATAAGCAGGTAGAGTTTGAGGCTTGGAACAACTCCTGATGGCAGGAGGCTGAAGCACAGTGTTTTTCAGGCTGGGTGTAATTACTTCTGGTTGTTTGCCCTTTTCTCACTCCAGAGCCTTGTTTTTGCAGATGGACCAGCTGCGTATCCAGTCCCAGTGCAGAACACCAAGCCACTACTTACTGTGAGCTTCACGTCGGGAGACATCAGTTTAATGAACAATTATGACGACTTGTCTCCTACTATCATCCGCTCAGGGTTGAAAGGTACAAAAGGAAGTCGTTTCACCCCCTTCCTACGCTATGTTTTTCTTGTCTTTTTAGCGTATACGTTATGTTTTTGCGATTGTCTCTTCTAACCCAGAAGTACTCAGCCACGGTTATTGCCATTTCCAGCAGTGACACCTGCTGGGGGAAGAGCAGCGCTTGGCGGATAGCGCTTTTGTGTTTAAAAATTGTTTCCGTTTTTGTGATCATGTTTTTATGGCAGTTTTGTAGAGCAAATTGATCCGTTTGCTGTTTTTCAGCTGAATGTACTAATATGTTTGTGCTTCTTTATGTGAATGCACCTGCTACGTAACACTTCCTTTGCATCTTTAATTCACAAGGTCTCCTCCAATGCTTTTGGTAACCAGGTACTCATTATAATGCTGCTTTGACTCACACAGATTTTGGAAACTTGCTAGAATTATTAATTATCAAGAAGCATATTATTCTGAGAGAAGGAAAATTCCACTGATTAATTACTATACATCTCGCTAAGTGATGTGCATGAATGTTTTCAAAATCAGTATTCCATGTAAAATCTTTAATTGACATGGAAATTTTTACTGTTCTTTCCTATCAAAAAGTCACTCGCTTTGCCAGCACTCTTAGTACAGTTTATGGTGCTTTGCATGGAAAGAAGCTTTAGTTCACTATGGCACATAAGCACATATTTAAATATAGGTTCCATTGATTCTTTTTCATCTCCACAGGTAAATTAGTTTTATATTAGATGAAAAAAACAATAAAGCTGTTGGAGCAGACTCTTAGGTCTTGTGTAACAGTGGGATATTTTTGGTAAAAAGTTGCCCTAACACCAGCCCAATACTTTTTGGGTGATCCACTATATAGGGTGGTCTTAGGAGTTTAAAAAAATCACCTTTGAGGTTTCTTTTCCACTCTTGCTTCCATCTGTGCCAACACAAGAAGTACACGACTGGCAAATGTAGCATCCTGGGGCCAACCCTGTGATCCAGAAAACTTCAGCCAACAGGACACCTGAAGTCTAGGAAACTGGAACCAGTTTAAAGAAGCTGTTATGATACCCACCAAGGGCTGTGCCCAGCATCTCTACAGAATTATAGTAAACAGGATAGGAAGTAGTCTTGAGTTGTCATCTAGTCTGACTTTTGGCTGGAAACAGTAGGAGAAACAAACTCCCATCTTATTCTCTGTTTAGAGTGGCAGGGCTCTATCTTGCTGAAGACATCTGTGCTGTTGCTCTTTCTCCATTGACTTTCACTAATTGAAAAATATTCCTTAATTACATCACCCTCCTCTAGCAAGATATTAATGTGCAAGCTACAGTAGAAATGTTTTTTATGAATTGTAAACTGGCCTACATCAGTAGAAGAATGTGTAACATCTTACTGGATTGGGAGCGTGTATGAGATGGAGAAAGAAAGGTGCCTGGAATATCACTATCTGTTATGTTGAAGCTACCCATTGTACAGTGGAAAGTATTTTGCATATAACTGTCATATAGATGTAAACATTTGCTGTAACTTCATGCCAGTTTTCTTTGTTCAAGTGACTGTGATTTTACTGGTTGTTATCACATGCAGGAGTATGCAAAACTGCCCACCTCAGGGTCTCCATCCTCTCCAGCCACTTGGTATTCTGCTGAGAGTGAATGCTCTTCAGTATTGTGTGCAAGTCTTAATTCATGTGTTTCTGTTTGAAATCTGTAAGTATTGCTTTGTGGTCTCTGCAGCAGATGCCCTTATCTTTCTTTATGGGCTGCTGTAGGCCACTTGGTGTATTTTTACAGCAGGCAACTATAAAACTATTTCATGCATTACCGATATATTTTTGCAGTTCTACTAGCTTCGCATAACTGCCATTTTACTGGGAGTATTCATATTAAATTGATGCAGGAAAACATTTGCTGGATGAGAATTTGATAAACCAAATACAAGTTCTTCTTTTCATCCAGCTTGAACACTTCTGGGAGTTTTATCAGTTCTAGTGGAGGTCATGAACTGTTCAGTTGTATCCTTTCTTTTCTCATGCTTTTTAACTCAATAATTCTCAGTACAGTGCTACCTGCAGAACTGTTGAACTGCATCTACTAGCTGTACTAGTTAGCTACAACTACTGCCCACAGAGCTATTGCACATTTAGAGTGCTGTCTATTCAAACTTGGCTGATATACACACCTGTGGTGGCTGACAAGTAGTTTTGAGGTATGACTCTGATCCACTGATTCACTTGCAGACCATTACCGTAGGTGAAACCGCTATCTGATTTCTAATCTGTGTGCTTGCACTGAGACCCAGTTACACATTGAGCTACTGTACATCAAGGTTTGGTAGTTGTTGAAGACCCCATTGGCAGTGCAGTGTGCTGTCCTGGGGGGATGCCTCAACCGACGTCGAGCCCTTCACTGCCTTTGCAGCAGCTTCATTCTAAGAGTTTTGAGAGAGAGAGAGGGAGAGAGCGGAAACTACTGGATGTAGTAATCGCTCCTCTTTCACTTGGTATGAGGACTGACTAAAAGTTCTACCTGAAGATATGTATCCAAAGGAGAGTGTTTTTTCACTTTTGTAATTGTGTAGTTAAGCCAGTTAGAGAATCATAGAATCATAGAATGGTTTGAGTTGGAAGGAAACTTAAAGATCGTCTGGGCCAACACCCTGCCATGGGCAGGGACACCTCCCACCAGACCAGGTTGCTCAAAGCCCTGTCCAACCTGGCCTTGGACACTTCCAGGTAGGGGCCATCCACAACTTCCCTGGGCAACCTGTTCCAGTGTCTCACCACCCTCACAGTAAAGAACTTCTCCCTAATGTCTAATCCAAATCTACCCTCATTTAGTTTAAAGCCATTCCCCTTCATCCTATCACTACAATCAGTTACCAAAACAGTGGAGTTTTCGCGGTTATCACACAGTTACCAAAAGTGGAGTTGATCACTGTGCCTCATATTTCTAACCTGCCTATCATTATTCTTGCTGAGAGAGATGAATTAAATCCCCCTGTAGATTACTTAAAGAGCTGAGGACTAAGAAAAAAGAGAGACTTACAAAAAATTATCTTGAGGAAGATGCATCTTGCCTCTGATATGTATAAAAGCATAATTCCCATGAGAAGTATCAGAAAGTTGAAATAATACAAAACCATTTTAAATTGCACATAAAAGTCCCTGAAAATGACAAGTTGACAACTTGAAACAATTCTGAGATCCTTCCTGCCAAGTCTCATTTCTCTCTTGCTTCATTTGAAGACAGCTTCTCGCCCACAGATGTCTTCAAAAGGTTCTTGGCAGACTGAGCATCCCAGAGCTCAAAAGTTTTGTCTTTAGCTTCACTTTGTCTCCTCACAAAATATCTGCCTCTCACCTCTGGTTTAAGAGTAAAAAGGTTTAAAGACTAGCTCAGTGTTCCTTGCACGTGCAAATCTGCCTCTGAAACACAAGCAGTAACACAAAATACTGTTTCAGTGCTCTTGTTGCAGTGGTACAAAAAGCTGGAGGATATAGGGGTTTGAAATTAGCATTCCCAAATTAAGCTGTGGGCGTTCCTCATCATGAGGTGCCTGTAGGAGAAGTAACTGATATGTATATTCATATCCATGTATATGAGAGACTGAGCGATTCCTGTGTGCTTCTGGCAAACTCCTGCTAGACAGATGAGAAGATTTTCACAAGTCATGTCAAAAGAAAACGTATGACATGGAGGCCATATGTATTTATGGACCAAAATCCTAAAGTCTTTCTAGTTTGACATTATACTAAACTATAAATCTAGTTTGAGTTATGCTGAAAGTTATATTCACAGCCAGTGAGAACATGAGGCTTTGCCAGATAAGCTGCTTTTTTGCACTGTAGGCCTTTCCAGACAAATGCTCTTTGCTGCTCTCTTAGTGAGATTATTTATCTGCGTATTAACTTGATTCCACTTATTTACCCCAAAGATGTGCATAGAATCTTCCACATCACTTCTAACATCTCTAATAAATTCTCGTCCTTAGGTACTTAGGAGCAACTACTGATTACATTCTACACTGACTACAGAGAGAAAACTGAATGTTTTTTACAGAGTTTTTGCGATTTACAAAATAAAGAGAGTCATTCTTGGAAGTGCTTATGCAGTGTATTTGCTACTGTTTCTATGAAAGGATTTAGGTTTCTAAGTACTTAAGTAACTTTTGAGAGCATGATTTAGCCGTTCGAGTCACTTTGCAGCATCTGGAAGCGCTCTTTCTACTGATTCTAATGAGTCATTATTGCAAAATGTCTTGTGATTACAGATGTGGTGGTGCAGTGGTGTACGCAAGGAGACCTACTGGCAGTGGCAGGCATGGAGAAGCAAAGCCAGTTGGTTGACCTCAGCAATGGTTCCCTGCTGAAAAGCGCGCTTGTCAAGTTCTACAATGTGCGCGGGGAACATATCTACACTCTGGAGACACCTGTGCAGGTAGGAGATATTTTTTAAGTCAGTTCTCAATGTTTTGCTGACATGCTTTTCCTACATTAGCATAGACCTGCAACGTGAAAAGGGTTGCAGAGCATCCTTAAATTCTAAAATGTGATATAGATAAAAATGCACTATAAGTAATTAGTGTTATCATTAAAGTAGACATCCCAGCATGCATCTGTTTCTAAGGCCCATTGTGCTAGGTATTGTGCAAATATAAAATGAGAAACAGACTGTTTCCCAAAATTGTTGGGCCATGAATGGACAAGATAGGAAAACGAAATTCTTTTGTTTACTGACAAGTGTCTGAGGAGAAAAAAATAGGTAACTTACTTGATATTGTAGCAGAGCCAAGAGATGGAAGAAAATATTCCAAGTCTAGTATAATAACTACAAGATTATTCTCTCTTTGTTATTGTTGTAATTTTCTAATGTACAGTCAGTTGATCTGATGCAATATTTTACTTTTTATGGCATCAGATGGAGAAGGACGAATCAGAGAGTCTTGTTTCTGATCCCTCCTTCTCTACAGACTTTCACTGTAACCTCAGTCTTGTTACTTGACAAGTTAATGTCAGCACATGGTCTGTGTACTGCTTAGGAGCACATCATACTTCATAGGTCTTTGCTGATACTTCAGAACCTAGCTGCATGTCACTCTCCAGTTTAATTAATTTCTACAGAATAGGGATGACTTCTTACTGATTTCTGACTGTACTAGTGAAACTTAACTGATTTATAATAGCTTTGAAATCTGAAAGTGAAGGAAAATGCTGTAGAACTATTCACTTAATTATGTTTAATGATGATACCATTTATTATCATTTCTTTTTCAGTACCCTGATCTGGGATGGATACAAAAGGATGATGTAGTAAACCAGCTGCTTAGCTTTTGTGTTTGCTTATATATAGCATTAACCTGTGCTTATTAACATTAGCAGTCTAATTTAGATAGAATTCTTTAGTTTTGTAATGTATAAAATAATGGTCTCTAAAACCAACCTAAATACTTACAGCGACATGTAATACTGATTTAGATACCTAAAGGACTTACCCATACACATTATTTTATTGTCTTAAACATAGCCCTTTCAGCAAAGTAGCATAGCCTTTTCATCTCTCAATTGATTCTGGTGAAAGCATATTTATACCGTATTTATTCCCAGAGCAGGTGAAAAGCAAACCTTGTTCTGTTACGTCAGTACGAGAATACAGTGTGTCCACGTTAGCCACTGAACCAGTGTAACACTCTGGGGTCAAGCTGTGAAATCAAGCTGTGGTTTGAGCGTTGGAACTGATGGGGTCAGGTTGCCTTAAAGTATGCGTGTATGCAGGCTCTTCTCTCACTGCTTTGTTCCCAGTAACCTCAAATTCTCCTTCGTTCAAATACCTTTATCTCCTCTAGTTCCCCCTATATCCCTTCAATGTCTTTTCGTATTTTCAGCTCTTCTCCTTTCTTCTTTACTTAATCAGTTGGGAGAAAGCACATATTGTGGCTGATGTGATGAGTAATTACTCTGCCATTATATGAGTTCTTGTAGGGCAACTGACAGGTCATATGGAACAAGGAACTGCCAAGTTCATACTGCGGTATTTCTCATAGTGAAAATACTAACATGAGCCTCTCTGCTTTTTCCAGCTGCTAATTTTCACTGGAATTGCAGCATTTTAATGTCATGGAGATTTCTTCCATCATAGTCAACTTCAGGTGAAAAGCCAACAGCTTCAGAAGTTGTAAGTCGGGTTGGAAGTGAAGGAAGAGAGGCGCAGGGGGTGGCAACAAGCGCTTAATAGTACAATCATGGAGTCTCATTTCCTTGGGAAACCAGGATAAAAATAATATTCAGACTGATATATTTCAATTTATTTAAAAACTGTGTGCATATACCTGCCTGAAATTAGAGCCACTCCTCTTAATAGTCAGTGTTTATTCTCTTTACTTAGTACATTTAAACTCATATTTACTCAGCTGCAGAAGGAAGTGAGGGGCCTTTCAGAAGGACACCTGTATCTGCTCATGTGGACTTTATGCTTCTATGTATTTGAATGCTGGTCTAGCAGTATTACCAGCTAAGTGACAGGTATGCTAGAACATTGCTAAGTATTTGGTCTACTAATAAAACAAGATAAAAACTGCTGTTGCAAAAAAAACCACAAAAAAAAAATAACCTTTTGTTATTCTGTGCCTTTGCTCCGAAGATGTATATGCAAAGATGACAGAATGAATCAGTGGTACCAGTCTGATGACAGATTCATCAGAATAAATTAATTAGTCTTCTGTACCATGACAGTCAGCCTTGTAATGGAATTTTATAAAACTCATCATTGATTATTGAAGAAAAGAATTTCCTCATCTCGAACTCTTTTGCTAAAACTATTTCTTCTGAAGCAAGCAAATGCATGACTGGAAAAGCACATTTATTCTAAATAAGCGTTGTTCTGAATATAAAGGTCAAAAAAGTAAAGCAGCAACAAACATAGAAAATAGTGGATTATAGGTGCAAAAATGTTTTTCCATGTGGTCCTCTGTCCCAATTCTCTGCTAAAGCAGACATCTGAAAATTTTATCAGTAAAATAAATGGAACTGGTTTTGTTCCTGCTGTTTGTCTGTCCTGTCTTTGGTAGGATATTCAGGAAACAAGAGATTTTCTCATTTATAACATAACTCAGTCTGAAACTGACGTAGGATTTATACACAACTTGGTTGTAATGTTACCTAACATAAAGTCACTGCAAACCCCAAGGCAGAATAGATTTGGGTACTGCAGGTTACTCATCTTGATGAGGACCGTTGTTCTGGATCCCTTCAAGGTGTTTTATATCCCACCTTCTCCTCCAGCTTTAGTATGCTTTTGGCATCCTCTGTCTCATTTGATTAACTCACTTAAGCTCTTACCTTCAGTGCAGGATTTTGTGGTTCATAAACCTAGTTTGCTGACTATAAAACTCTAGATAGGGAAATCACACTTGTTTGAAAATATCCCAGTGAACTCGGTAGCTTTGCATGCAGAATAATGCTCATAAGCAGAGTGGTAGAGTTAGCATAGTGTAACAGTCTCTCTTGCTCTCTGCTCTGGGGCTTCAGCCTGCCAGCCTGATGTACTGCAAGAATATATTTGCAGAATGTAGTCAAAAGAGCTGAAAAAGCATCAGTAAGAATTGGGCAATTGTTGAACTTCAGCTACACAGAGTCAGACTGTTGTGAACCTTGAAAGAATGGTGGAAAAATTCCAGAACAGACTTCAGAAAGTCACACCAGACATTTATCTTATTGGAAGCAATTAGATGAAAGCCGGGTTCATATTGTGACTCCGAAGACTTTATTTTTTAAATAAAGAGCATGAGTTATTTATTATACAAATAAACAGCATATCCTAAAGGCTGTTGATCAGCTGATAAGTATTAAAAAATGTCCTGTCCTTGTGTACATGAACACCAACCTGATGAACCAAAAATATGCCTGTTTCTCTTAGCTGGCAGTTTTTCCATGGTCTTGCTTTGTCAGCGTTTAAAAATGTGGTTACAATAGCAGGCTGCCCTGGGGCTCATAATTTTTTACTGGAAGAATGTTAATTTCTTACCTTATTTGTTAAATCCTCATAACCCTTCCCTGGCATCAAGTAAGGATGCAAATAATCAACTCATTCAAGACTGTTTTACAGTCCTGCTAAAATTGTTTACTGGAAATGCTGCAGCCCAGTTCTGTCACTTCAAAATTTCTCATCTGATGTGCAGACAGGTCTTTATTATATCAACTAACCATATCTGCCGTCATAAAGCTCTCCTGTGAGCGCATGCAGGTGCCTCGTATCTTCCCATTCGAACTTTAACCAGAGGAGTCTCCTGCAGGATCACTTCAAAATTACCTAACTGCCAACTTTACCAAACTTGTGAAATTATTCTGTCTGATGGTTCAAAATTGTGGCTTATATTTTGATTCCTTCTTTGTTTTTTATAATTTTCTTTCCTGTATGTCCCAGAGAGGACATGGGGAACAAGAATGTGGATTTAAAAACCCTGATGCTGATCTCTTTTATACACCTATAATCCTAGAGTAAATTTACATTATCTTATGATTTTATACCACTGTGTAACTGATGTAAGAATCAGTTTTAAATTGATTAAACCTCAAGTGCAATGGAGAAGAAGGATAAGAGTGAGCTGAGCCCTGTATGTTCAGCTGTATAGGCAACAAGATTTAAGATTATATGTTCCTGCAGAAACCTGGTAGTAGTGTAAAAGCTATTTCACTATGGCCTGAGTACGAAGGTGTCGTGTTAGGTTAAATTCAGATCAAAACGCCTTGAGAGGAGAGGCTGCCTTTTATGTTACCCAGCTGAGCCAACCTTGCTTTGTTTGCCTTCATTTATTCCACATAAAGTGTTCAAGTTTGTCGCTTCTGCATTAATGTTGGATTTAATTTATATCAGCTGAAATTAATCCTGTTTAGTTGTTATTGGATGACAACTAAGCTTTAAGAAAGAGAAACAAGAGCAACGGTTTAGATCTAGCTGGTGAAGCATTCTTTGGGATATCAGTACGGACATTGGTGTTTTCTTTATAGGCCATAAGATCATCTTTTACTGCTGCAGAAGTGGGTCATGATCAGGACTGGAAAATGGAGACGCTTATCTAAGCAAAGACTCATTCTGCTAAAAATGAAATCTCATCATTGCATTGAAATCTAAAAAAAATTAAAATTACTGTAGGAACAGGGTATAAGGAACACCTGCAAATCAAGTAAGAGTTTGCCACGTGAAAAAACATGTAAGGCCACAGCAAGGTAATTTCTGATCACGTCTTAATCTTTATTGCTTTTATCACCATCAATTCTTAACGGTTAGTATTATTCCCACTGTAAATATGGGAACAGAAGAGTGAAGAAGTTATGTTACTTTCCAGCAACCATCCGTGGATGCTGTGGCAGCACAGAGGTGACACACACACAGTTCACAAGAGCCGGGTGGCCACTGCAGCCATTTCACCTTCCAGCTTCTCTCGGAAAAAAAGCGGGGGGAAAAATGCATCCCCCCATCAGCAGTCTAAAGGGAGAGAAAGCAGGCAACGTACGTCAGTGTTTTACTTACACGTACCATTCACTAGATACTATTTTGCAGTTGGGTTCTTTCTCCTGAGAAAAATCCTGCTTGTTGCTGGGCTCTCTGCCCTGGAATGCTGTTTTATTTCATTACCAGTGGGACTCTCAGTGCTAGCAGACGAGAGATTAGTGCAAGCAGCAGGCGGGCCCCATGGCTCAGGATTTCTGAGCTCCAAGAATGAGCTTGAACAGTGTTTTTGTTGACTGAGCTGCATACAGGTGTTGAAGAGTGTATAAATTATGTTCTCTCCTGTAAGAGAGACAGATGAGTGACTGAAGAAACAACCGCAGAGCTTGAGCAGGAATATCCATTGCTGTGTGCTTTTCAAAGGGGAGTTGACACCCCAGCAAGGGGTATAGATTTGAGTAGATGTAGCTGACTTTGAAGCTCACTCTGAAAAAACAGTGAAAGAGCTCCTTGCTTGCCACTTTGAGATGTGTTTTCAGTCAGTATTTTTCCTGATAAAACATCTCAATTTTTGTCCTTCAGCCAATTATTTCTAATATGTAATATTCATAGAACTGAATCCTATTTATGTGTAGAAGTTCAAGGGTTTTTCTAGGTTTTGTTTTTTTCCTACATGTTTGTATTTAAAACCTGGGATTCATTCAGGTATTTACAGTTTGTGCTGAGATTTTTCAAAAAAACTGATGGGATTTTTATGTGCAAAGTGAAATTAGAAAACATCATTAAATGCTATATTTGTAGCTGCATTTCCTTGTTCCTAGCAGAAAAAAAATAATTGTGCAAACATGGCAAATAAAATTATTCTGTGCTAGAATCTGCTTGTTCATTTTCTAGTAGGCACAATATGGATATCAAAAACTTTTTTCCTTCCTTTTTTTGCTAAAACAGTGAAAGTAAGTGGACACTTTATGATGAGCAGTACTTTTGGGTTGGACATGGGAGTTGAATTGTTTTTTTCTCAGCAGAGTTCAGAAGGAAAGCTGTGGCCAGCTCATAACTAACTTTCTGCAGTAATTGATTCATATCCCTTATCGTTCAAGTGAAAGAATGGGAAGCATAGTTATTGAAAAATATTATTGGAGCAGTACATTTAAAGGTCAGGTCAGATCTGGCATTTGGGTGATCTTTTATTTCTGCAAGACTGTAATGACAGGCTAGTTTTCCCTGAACCTCATCTTAAATCTCAGCTGTTCACCATAAATGAAGTGTTGCTGGATATTAGGCTTGAGGAGTACCGGGGGACTAACCATTGCATAGAAAACGCAGGCAAGGCGTGTCTGCTGAATCAGTAAGCAAAGACAAACCAGAGTGGTAAAAGCACTCTGATGAGCTTGAAAATGTTATGATTAAAACATGTGAGGTGTGTGGGGAGACTAGAGGTACAAATGGAAGAGTAGAAACGTTGTGAATTACAAACAGTACAACACTTGTAGGTATTGTGTGTGTCTGTGTGTATTTAAAGTGCACCCACTCACATACTGTTTACATAAAAGTACATAAACAGAATATAAAGGAATCAGACATTCAGAAGTTTAGAAGATGGTTGAACTATGGTTGGGAATTGTTAAAAAATGGGTGTGTTGGGAAACTGTGGTGAAATTACGCGGTGAGGCAGTGTCTTTTGACTTCTGACTACTTGTTCTTCCTGAGCTCCACAATGCTGTGTTTCCAGGGGTCCCAACCCAGCACTTCAAAGCATCTGAAAAACCTATTCCTTGGGAATATGTTTAAGATTGCAAAGGTTCTTGCACTGGTGCTGTCTGCATCGCTGCTGTTCTTTGCATGCAGTGGTAACCTGAGGAGAGAAGTGGTTTCCTTTGACTCAGAATGAACAGACAGGCCTATCTGGATGTGATATATTGGATTATAATAGCTGCAATACTAGACTTCATGGTAGGGCTCTCTGGGTGTGCTGTATTTTATTATGATAGCATGGATATTGGACTACTTTTCTGACGTTAAACTCTATCCAGTAAATGAACATTTGTGCACTAAACTTGTTTGTTCCTTCACCTTATTTTAGGTAAGCTTTAATTGATGCAACATGAGCAGAAGGATGTGGTTTGGATCCCATAGTAATGATTACGCAGATAGTTCTGCCCATGCTGGAATTCAGCCCTTGGGGAAACCAGGGTCACTTCTACTGGAACCTTTCTCAGGCATCTTATAGTAGATGTACCTGACTGTAGTCAGTGCCTTTTCGGTCGCATTTAGTTTGCAAGCAGCTTGAACTCTCTCATTACTGCCAGACAGTATGAGGGCTGAGCCACACTCTCAAATCATGAAAATACCAGTCGTTAAGGGATACTTTATGTGATCTCTCATCAGATTTAAGATGCTGTCCCACAGATTATGGTTATGACAAGCCATGTAATAATTATTGATGGTACACAAAGGATTTCCCAATTCTTTTGAAGTTCTCCACTACAAAATGCCTTTAGCAATTACTGTGAAAATCATAAGGTTCACATGTTGCTGCTTTCCATTTGCATATCAGTCAGCCTGAAGGTTTGTGCCTCCCTGGAAGTGCGTGTGTGTGATGTTGCCTAAATGTAGTGAAAATGAAGCTGCTGCTTCATTCCTCCTACTTTAAAACTAATGTTTTCCTTGAAATTTCCTTGAAATCTAGGATAAGATGACATAGCAGGGAAGATCTTTTCTCTGAAAAGGTTGTTTTGTCCAACCCTTTATCTTGATGATAGACATTGATATAGTGCTGTGCAGCTGCATTTTGCTTTATATCACTCACATAAAATATCTTATCCCAGTTTCTCCACTTCAGGCATCTTGAATTAGTAACTGAAGGGAATGCTTTTTTCCCCAGACTAGATTAGTAACTTCTGGGCTGATCTAACCCAGGTTGTCTGGATACCATATTACTAGAGAGGAGTGGATAAAAGTTACTGCTGGTGGTGCATGACCCTTGTCTTCTGTGTGGTTAATTCTTGTTTGGTACATCTTGTGAAGAGCAAAGATACTGCAAATAGAGCCTGACCTTTCAGTAAATACAGTTTGTAATTTAGTGAAAAACATGTTTGCTTAAACTGTTGAGCTGCCATGGATTGTGAAAAGAAGAGAGCCCTTCTCAGGAAGGAGTAAACCTTTTGTAGCTCACTGATTACAGCCTGCTGCACAATATTCTTCATGGAGTGAGAGTTTCTTCTTTACTCAGTGTTGTTTGCTTCTGTGGAGATAGCAGCCACGGGATTGAAAATTCTGTACAGTATGTGTATATATGCAAATACAGATGCTTTGTAACACAGAAAACAAGAGATGACAAATGGATGCAGCTAACACTCATGAAGGGCAAAAGTAACAGTGATAGGGCTATAAGAGGTCACAACAGACTGGTGCTTTATGTGAAAAAGGTGGGGTTTAGGAAAAAAAAGTAGGAAGCTCCTTGCAAGCACAACTCAGTATTCTGACATGTACAAAGCAGTATTTGAGTTGCTTATTGTTATTCTGCTCCATGTTCTGACACTTAGTACCAGTCGCCTCTGCCTCTTTCTGGTTTTACTGTCATGAATTTAGGCATTTCTGAGTGAAGACAAACAGAAGACAAAAGGCCATTGTCCATTTTGTTCTCGGTGCTCTTTCAGAGTTCAGTTCCTTTGAGAATAGTTCAAGAGAGGTGCTGTTCAGCACAGTGCAAGACAAGAAAGGCAACTGGGTTTTATCCACTAGTTTACTAAGTGTCTCTGGGCATATAATTTAACTTTTCAGTTGTGAAATGTGAGCCATTACCAATAGATGAGAATTGATTAAATGACTGAAAAATCACCTGGACAGGGCATCAAGAGATCCTGCTTTTTAACACTATGTGACTTCAAAGTCACTTATCTTATCTAGGTAATGAATTTGATATACAATTCCCTGTGTAAAGAGCTTTAAGCCTTGTGAGTAAAAGCATTATATAGAAATCAACCACTGTTATCAGTAATTTCAGATATTCACATTCTTCTCCCTTTTTGTGGGGAACAGCACGCACTTTTAAGTTTCTGGAAGACTTAAGGTAACATGATCGATGCTGAATTCATGTGATGTGTGCAACTATCTTGAGAAAGTACACGCTCTTTTAAAGTTGTATCCTTTTCCTCTCCGTGCAGCGTCCCATCATCTCGATCTGTTGGGGTCACAGGGATTCGCGCCTGCTGATGGCTTCTGGACCTGCGTTATATGTTGTCAGAGTTGAGCACAGGGTCTCCAGCCTGCAGCTGCTGTGCCAGCAGACCATCGCCAGCTGTCTGCGGGATGACAAGGACATCAGCAAGCTGACCCTGCCCCCTCGGCTCTGCTCATACCTCACCACTGCCTTTATACCAACAATCAAGGTAAAAGGAAAGAAACCTCTGTGTGTGTGTGAGGAAGAGGAAAGGGTTGCTTGATTTCCTCCCCCCATGCTGCTCCTAAGTGACAATGGATAAATTATAAGATATTGTAATTATCATAATTATAATCTTAAAAGCTTTATTAAGGGTCATTCTTGTCCTCTTCAAGAACCCACTGATCCATTTGGTGCCTATTAAAATTTGTAAAGAGGGCTCATACATGCTGATCTGCATTATTCTATGGGGATGGCCTTTCCAAGGGCATTATAAGGGTAAAATATGCTGGTGACTCTCAGAGACTTTGGAAGCAGCTCACGCTGATGATAATAATGTGTCATGGTTATAGGAGAGATTCTCAGTGGTAAAACTGTTGCCTACTTGTTACGTGAGTCCTTATGTTGCCAGGAAGGTTATACTTAAGACCTGTGATGGCCCAAGTACTTCTACTGACAGAGTGTTCTGCAAACCTTACTGCTCTAGCAGTGCTATGGGAAAACAAACTGGGTATAGTGCCTTTTCCTGTACCACTAGCAGAGCCATCTGCTCAGCCTCTTTGTTTCATGGTTTTGCCCTCAGTTACACATCAGGATTTCCAAGCTCTTTATCACAGCCTATAAACTAGAGCATTAGCTGGTAAATGCCCTACATTCAAACATATATTTTTATGTTAGGTATTTTTTGTGTATGTATTACAGCATTCTCTTGAGCCAGTTTCAGGTCCTTGTTAAAACAATGCAGAGCTAGAATAATTAATTTGAAATCAACAGAGTTGGCCCAGCTTAAGTGAGAACAAATTATGCCTATAAAATTATGATTCAGCATAGTTCCGTTTGGGTACTGCTAATCAGGGTAATTTGTGCAACTGTGAAACATTCCATTTGCCAGAGAAGAATAAATGTCTTATTGTAACCATAACTCCTTGATCTCCAAAGATGCAGAGCGTTTAACAGACCACTGGGTCTCAGTTCTTTCTATCATGCCTACTTCTCCCCAGGATGCTTCCCATGTTGTCCCAGAGCCACCCCTGCTGCTCTCTAGAGCATCAGTGACACTTGCTTGGCTGTTAGGGAAGGCAAGGGATGGCCTGGGCTGGGATGGGATGGGATGAAGGCAGCAGTTGGCTGTAGCAGGTCTGGGAGCTATGACAGAGATCAGAGGGGCAGAGGCAATAGAGGGACAGCCCTTCTGTCACCTCCTAGAGGGGATGCCAGGATGGGGAGCAGTTGCGGGGCTGTGTAGCTGAGAGGCTGAAGCAGGTTTCCCAAAAGCCACATGTCCCTGCTGTTTCATGTGTGTTTCTAGAGCCTTCTCAGCACCACTTTAAACTTCACCCTGGCTCTCCCACAGCCACAGACTCCCAACTAAACTGTCAGCCGTGCCTCCAGTGAATGGCAAGACACCCTCTTTCCTGCATACATTCCTCTCCTCACCTCCAGCTTGAAGACTACATTATAGATCACTCCTCAGCCCATATTCATCTCTCCAGGTTAAGGAGGCTCCATTTTTCCCCTACTGCTTTTTTTCTTGTATTTTAATTCTGAAAGAAACTGTGTTGACTTATACATTAGTAGCTTTTGTGTCATACAGGCTATATTGTCCTAGACAAAAGCAGTCCAGCTGGTTTAGGACTGAGCTTTTCATAGGTTAATACAGCGTGCTGGCAAGCAGGCTAAAAAGTAACCCACCTTGAGCTTTGTGCTTGTATTTCTCTACACTGTATGCAAATAGGCCCTCAGCAAAGATGGGTCACGTGCTTGGAAGTGATGTAAGCTTCTTCCAGAGCTGACAGCATTGTAGCATAGTGCCATAGCAATACTAACCAGGAATGGGAACTTGAGTGGTGAAATTAACTTGGGAGCCAGCAAGAGACAAGATACTCTGAGACTTGGACTTGACCACATTACCCAAGTTAAAAGAGAAGTTTGTGATAGAGCCAGGACTTGAATACAGTTTGTTGTCTAATTCAGTTCTCTGACCACAGATCCAACCTTCCTCTTTGATGTAACTAGCTTTAGTTTTCTGTGTACAACTGCTTTTGACCTAAATAAATAACACAGCTGTTCTGTCTTATATGTGAGTCCTCCATAACTCATGCAGTAACCTGTACTAATCTTGACTTTGCCAAGTTAGAGCTGGGTTCAAATTCAGTTAGTTGTGTTGGAATTAAGTCATCATGGCAAAAGAACAATAACCTATAGGAAACTTTCTCTTTCCTTCCTTCATTTAATTAAGCCTCCTATCCCAGACCCAAACAATATGAGAGATTTTGTCAGCTACCCAACAGCTGGCAATGAACGGCTTCACTGCACGATGAAGCGGACAGAAGATGATCCAGAGGTCGGTGGTCCATGTTACACGCTGTACCTGGAATACCTTGGGGGACTGGTACCTATCCTGAAGGGACGTCGTATCAGCAAGTTGCGGCCAGAGTTTGTCATCATGGATCCTAAAACCGATGGAAAAGCAGGTAGAATTGAATTGTTGCTCTGTATAAAAAACAATTCAAAAAGACTTTACATATTAAATCCTCAAGAGTTAAAGAAAATCTATATATGCAACATGAATTTATACCATGTTGCCTTCTGTTTTACAGAAGGGAACTTCTTGTATTTTGAATAGTGGGGAATAGATTGCGGAAAATACTCTTTAGCCTCAATTTTGAAGTCAGTTGAATGCTATTCACCCCTCTGAATCATGTTCCCTTAAGTTTGAACCATTGGAAATTTGGAGTTTATACTATACAGGGTGAAGAACAGTTATATTATCTCTGCATAGTTTTATCTCAGCTGCTGCCTGTGGATCGGATTTGTGCTTTTGATGACTAATGGTTGTAATTGATATCAGTTTTCTGAAGCAGCACTTACATTTTCTGGGGCCTGTCTTGATAGATGAAATCTATGGAAACAGCTTGATTTCCACTGTGATTGACAGCTGCAACTGCTCGGACTCCAGTGATATCGAACTGAGTGATGACTGGGCAGCAAAGAAATCTCCCAAAATCAGTCGAGCTAGCAAATCACCCAAACTCCCCAGGTAATAATTTCTTGGATATTTCTTCTTCTTTTTCCCTAGGTTTTCTTTTTTATTTTTTCTTTTTTTTCTTTTTTTCTCTTTTTTTTTTTAACACTGTCATGACACTTCATAAAAGTAAAAGCAAACTCCTTTGCGCAGATAGGGATCTTCTGGAGGAGTGGGGTCTTCTGCAGTGTGGAATTTTGGGGTAATCTCAGATATTGGTGTTCAGGTGGACTTTGGGGAAGGTTCTGGGGCAAAAGGTAATGGGGAACAAAAAGGCACTACTCCCCAAGCAGTCTCAAAGAAAGATTTTATAAACTCTCCCACCACCGTCTCTACCACATGTAAACTCTTGCCACCATAGGATATATTTTGTCTTCCAGACAAGCTGTGTTCTTGCCTCCTCTGTGCTTGGGGTCCTTGGTCTAGTTAAAGTCTTTATTTCCTATGGGGTATTTTCAAATTCCTAAGTCCATGCATAGGTGGCAAAGGTCCTGGCATAGGTTGCACTGCTTCTGTGGTGACCTTGCGTGGTAGCCTGAATAGTGTTCCTCCTGAACACTGGGTTGATGAGCTTCTGTAATGATATGCAAAATACGCTTCTAAGATATTCAGCTGGTTGTTTTGCTGCCAGCTCTTTATTATATTAATTATGTACATAGACAGAACCCTCCACCTGCACAAAGCCTCGCTGATGTCTGTGTTAGATGCTTCTCATAGGCACTGACATCTGTCTGCCAGCTTGAAGTTATGAGATTGAGACCCTGATGCCTCCTAGCTGCAGCTGACACTTTTCCAAAGACTTTATTTTATGAGCTTGTCCCAGTATGAGGCAAAGCAAATGCATCCCTTTATACGTGAACACAATGTGTCAAATACTGAAGTTGTCGTTTAGTAGTACTTGACAAAAGAACAGTCAGTTCCTTAGCCTAAAACTGAAACAGCTCAGGAAAAACAACTATCTTGCATCCTTAGTTTTCTAAGAGCATACTTTCGAAATGTAACTTTTGTTCATTATTTTTTCTACCGGAGCTTTTTCAGGTGCTTGTTTCACTTATTTATTACCCTCTTTGTACCATGGGATGTAGAAATCACTTTTGGCTTAGAGTAAGAGCACTGACAAAGTTTGTGGCCCCTTGGTTTGCTGTACTAATGTGGAGATCTGCCAGCTGAGATGTCACATTTCCATTTCTTGAGGCTTTACTCAAAGTCTGCATAGCTGAAATAGCTCAGCTCCTTTTTATAGATTAGTGGAGGATGTATTGTATCTGACAGACCTGCTGTAAGCTTTGTTAAACGAATCAGAAAACATCCAATGTGAGTTACTGCAAGTGTGTCAGGCCTGATATATCTTTAAATCTGACCTGTAACCCTCCATCCTGTAGTCTTCATTAGTCACTTAGAGGACACCATACCAGTTGTCTTCATGACATCTTTACGTTCAAAGACACGAATTTTGTGCATTTTTGCATGCCTGTTGATGATTTTAATTGTTGCTTTGTGTGTAGAATCAATATAGAAGCTCGCAAATCTCCAAAGATGTCACGAGCTGCACAGGAGATCTCAAGATCGCCAAGGTTACCAATAAGGAAACCTTCTATTGGTTCACCAAGCCTAACCCGAAGAGAGTTTCCTTTAGAAGATATCACTCAGGTATTGTGCACATTGTTACCAAACCTGTGTCCAAATGCATCTCCTTCCAGAGGCAGCAAGTTGTGATACAGGTCTAGTGATCACCAATTTCGTTTAATTACAGTAACTAGATGAAACAACTAGAGAATTGCATCTTCTTCAGTGTTAATGTTCACAAATGTCAGTGGAATGTCAGGCGTTGTTTGATAAATCTGGGCACTGCTAACTTCTGTCAATGTGAATCCATGTGAGAGGGTTCATTCTAGGTGATGATGTTGGCTGTTTGCAAGTGTATGTGAAAATGCTTCATCAGTTTCTCATAGTAGTCTTAATGCTACCATACGTCTGCTGTGCTAGGAATTGCAGAGATAAGGAAATTCTTGCTTCAGAGGGTTACATGTTTTCTGTTTCATAATTAACATGGAACAGCCATAATTGGAAGGAAAGCAAGGAATTAGCACTTTGTGCTCTTTGTAGTGTTCATGTCCTGTGGGTAAATGGGTAACTTAGCAGACTGTGGAACTGTCTGGGTTACATATTTCATTTATGCCAGCCTGCTTTCCTTTAATTTTGTTTTATTTTGTTTCAGTTGGTTTTTTTTCTGCTCTGTTGTTTCACTTCTTCTTTCACAGTGAAGAATTCTAGATGAGTTACACAGCAGTGGTAGATAGGACAAAAAGTCCTTCGAATAGGGCAGGAGACCAGAGACTTAGATCCTGCTCCTGATACTGAACATGTAACTCTTGGCCTTTGAGAAAATCTCTTGGTCTTTCAGACCCATAATTTGATTACCATTGAAGCAGTGGTTTGGGAAGCTGCTTTGGAAGCTCCAGGAAAGATATGTTTGTCGTTATGAGTGATTAATTTCTGTCTTATTTTGTTCTTCTATGAAGTGATTTGTAAGCGTAGAATCAAAGGGCAAGGTGTATTACTTTCTCAAATACAGAATAGCCACGCTTTTACTGTGCAGGAGAAGCAGGCATCTAAAAACAGAGCTATTGTCACTTAGCAGCCATCATGTTGTTCAGTTCTTCAACAGTTTTAATCAGCCTCTGTGGCTGTTTTAGACATAATTTCTGATGGTGTTCAGGTATCAAAATTAGACCTCTTAATGACTGTGTAGCTACATAGGCACATTAGGCTGTTTCAATAGAATAAAAACAAGAGAAGCTGAAATTGTATTATCACTTGCAATGGCTTGATTGCTCTGCAGTTTTTTATTAGAGCTTGATACAGATTTTATTAGGTAAAAATTATATTGGTTTTGCTTTGCAGCACAACTACCTTGCTCAGGTCACATCCAATATCTGGGGAACAAAATTTAAAATTGTGGGTTTGGCTGCTTTCCTACCAACTAATCTTGGTGCAGGTAAAAGTAAACTCTATTGGTTTTTTGCATGTCAAATACTTTCTAATAGAAAATGTACTTATGCCATGTGATTCTTTTTAAGTAATCGAAAGGTTTCTTTAACAAAGCTTTTATTTTCTGTGGATGGTAGTAATTGAATTTTACAAAATTCACTGCAACTGAAAGATATTTTAATCTACAAATGCATTACTGAGAGATCAATAAAGTGTTAAAAAGTCTCAATTGTAATAAAAGGATTAATTAACAGTCAAGCCCAGACCTTTATTTTTACAGTTTATTTGGGCAAACTTCAAACAAATAAACAATTTTTTGCAAGAAGACTGTAAAAATCATAGGTTATAAGTTACTGTAATAGGAATATTTTATTTTATAGTCATTTAGCTACTAATTATACCAAAATAATGTTAAAAAAGCTCTTATGGCATCATGCTCAAGATTCTTCAAGTCAATGTATAGCCTTACCATATGGTTCTCTTGCTGAACCATCAGTAACTTGATAGCCTTCATTAAAAGTAGCAGTTGCCTAGGCTCTTGATCTTTTTCTGAGTAGGCCAGTTCTCCCTGTTGAAAGAAGGAAGGCTAAGTAAAGAACTTAGCAGAACTGAGCTCTTGAGTTTAAATATTAACACAAGTATAGGAGTTTTATGAGCTCTTTGGAAAACTTATTTTTTCCTGTCTTGCATTATATAGTTAGGTCAGGGCGACATAATGATGCCGTGGATGCAGAATTAGTTAAACAGGTTATTTTATGGCTATTTTGACTACTATCAGACAAGAGATGGTGTCCCAGCTACTGCATAGAGGCCCTTCTCTGGCCCAGCCTCCAGGCAAAGGTTGTCCTCTCAAGATGTTGTCACCCTGGGGACAACCAGTGCCACTACTATAGGGCTGGGTCACCTTCTACTCAGTAAGGTGTTATGGAAATCCTCAGGTTTGTTCCAACCACTTTTTTCTTTTCCTAAGTAATTTACGACTTTCTGACATCTGCGTTTGCAGTATTTGTAAAAAGACAGTGTAAGAATGACCCTACTCGGTCAGACCAGAGGTCTGTAGTCTAGTCCTTCTAATTCTCTCATTGTCAGTGACAGACAGGTAGGGAAGGATATATGTGTAGCCTAAGCTGTAGTGGTACCCAGTCTCCAGTGGTTTGGGTCCCTGCAACTTCCTGAGCCAGGAGGTGTTTCTTTGTGTGTAGTAACCCTCAACAGATTTCCTTCCTGAGAGCTTTCCAGTTTTCCCCTAAACTCACATAAGTTGGTAGCATCCTGTGATGCAAAGTTCCAAAAGTGGAATTGAAAAATTATTTTCCTTCCATGAAAATAGATGTGAATACAAGATTAAGTAATTCATTATTCCTACAGATTATTTAACTACAGAGATGCTGCTTCTATTTAAAGAAAAACAGCTGAAAGTAGCAGTCTCTTTTATCCTGTTTATGCAAAGAGATACATAGCAGTTCGGCTAAGAATGGCACATACATTTGTTCATTAATAAATTTTAAAAAATAGTCATAGCCCTTCTGTCTGCTTTGAATTGATTTTTTTTCTTAGCTTTAGATGCTCTTCGTGTGACAGATTTTTTTATTTATTTCTTGTTATACTCTGTCTCCAGTAATATATAAAACCAGTTTGCTGCATCTTCAGCCCAGACAGATGACAATATATCTCCCAGAAGTTCGGAAGATTTCAATGGACTACATTAACCTGCCTGTCTTTAATCCAAATGTTTTCAGCGAAGACGAAGATGATTTACCAGGTAAGGAGGAGCTGGAGGTCTGCCATGTTATAGGTTAAGCTAGCTGAACAACAGGTAACTTGTGTCAGTAGCCTCCTCTGGTAAACACACAAATCAAATTTCCTTAGTCTGATGGAGTCCTGTAGAACTGAATTAGAACAAGGCTGATCTGTATTATGGACATTTTTTATAAAATATGTGGAAAATATAATCCACATAGGGCTGCTAAGTTTCAAGTTCACTGGAAAATTAATAATCTTCTATTCAGTTCACTAAAAATCCTCCATAGACCAAAGCCTTGCATTCTGCATCTGTGTAGGACAGAATTGTAGTGTTGTGGAAGTCCCAAAGGGTCATTCTTGTGATCTGATGGCAGCAAAGCACAGCCTGCTGATAAGAGCTTGGGATGGAGGGCAAGTTCCTGTAAAACTCAGCTACCCTTTGAGAGGTGTTAAATGCCCATATTGACTTTTATCAGTACCAAGTCTTACTGGAAGGCTAAAATAGTAAAGGAGTCTGCAAACAACGGGGATCAGGAAGAATTTCTCATTTTACTGAGATGTAAGGTAGCAGAAGATTCAAGCAGTACATGGAAGGCTCAGATGCAGGTGATATGAACATGGCAGATAAAAGGACTGGAAGTACTCAAGACCTCCTCCGATCAAAAAAAAAAGTATCATCATGCCCAATAAATTTAACAAATAATAGACAAGAAGATAATACATTTTCAGAATGTTCATATCAGTGAGGGATTCCTGTTGCTGGGTCACAGGTTTTTGGAACTGCGAGAGTGGCTGTCATGGACAGCCATACTCTTTAAGGAGGAAGGAGCACTGCAAAACAATTAAAGGCATGTGCTAGAGTCTGTGGAATTAATTGGAAATACTCCTATTACTTTGGACCAAGGTTTTGACTACTGAAAACACCAAAGCTTGTGTCCAACCCAAGCATCAGAGCAGTCCTCTGGACTTCTAAAATTTCTTCCTTGTGTGCTTAAAATGAAGCCCATTTTGTCATGTTTTGTAGCTTCCCTAATTTATGTCTACATGATATTCACTGGAGGATCTGAAGAAAATAATAGAGATATTAATGATTGTCTATGTATTATGCATAGGAAGCACTCAGCATTTTCTATTATGAAACCTGATCCAAGCTGAAATAAAGTAATAGAAAAATTAAATAGAAAAAAAAAGTTAATATAGAGATTCTGTCTCCTGTCCTGAAAAATGGATTAGAACGGCATTAACAATTCCTTTAATATTATTTAAAGAGACAGTACTCAGAATTACAGGTTGGTGAACACCACATAAATATAGGGAAAATTGTTAGAGAGTTTTGTTCCAGCTCTTTGAGAAAGCTAATAAAATAGTCATGCTACCCTTTCCTCCACAAGAGTCTTCCTCTTCTTGCCCACCTTGTTTCTAGTTTCTTCTGAAAATTAATTTCTGACTTAGCGGATGGAGGCTGCTTAAATCTTCCAAAACATTTTTAGTATATCTTTTCTTGAAGCCTGCATATAAAGGAAAAAAGTGCCATATACTAATGGGAAAAATATTGCAGCATAAGTAATGATTACATGATAGATTAAAAAAAACATAATAGAAAGCTTCTCTTGGGCAGTGGAATATTAGTAGTGAAGTGCTCTTGGGACAGGTGTTTTTTAATGTACTCAGTAAAGATTTGGCAAGGCAAATGGACAGTGAATTGGTATAACTTCCAAATTATGCAAACAAATCAATTAAAAATCATTGGAGGAATGAAAAAACATTGGATTTAAACACTTTGGAATATTAAGCAACACTATGACAAATGAGATTTTATTTGATAAGGCACTTAATGCCCAGGACAGCAACATTCTGGGTTGCTCAAGCCAAGCTAACAATTAAACCTCAGGCTCTGGCGGATGAATTGCTAACCTGCAGGCGTTGGGATGAAAGCATGGCCTGCCAGCCAAGCACAGAACCACACTGCCTTAGGGTCAATTAAGTTTAGCTCTTCTAGAGGAATGAACAGAACGACCATAAAAATTTGCCAGCATAGCCACAGACCTGTTTGTAGACCTACCATGTTCATGACTGATGCTGATGAAGCCTAATGCTATTGAAAATGTAATTATAGGGCATAGGTAGATGACTGGAATTTTAATGAGAAATTAATTAGGAACAGAGCAGCAGCTGGAGGAGTCCTGGCTAATGGATCTCTTGCCTGAACTGATGTTGCAAATCAGAGGCTTCACAGAATTTGGCACATTTAAATGATCCTGGATACAACTCTAGGATCCTGGATATTACTACTCTAGTCTCTTTTCCTCCCATAAACCTGCTGATGCAACTCGCTTATCATTTCCCATGTTTTTTATACAGGAAAACTAATAAAGAATCTGCAAGATTCTTGAGGGTTTTAATATAGTATTTATTGTTTCTCCATATTATTTCATTTTGTTTCTTCTTGACTTCTGCACCTGTGCTTGGTTCTCATGCCCTCATTTCATTGCCACACTCCAGCTTTTCAGTGGTACTTCCTGTTGGAATCACTATCACCACTTTCTGCAAAATGAACTGCAAGCAGTCGAGCAAGCTCCATGCTTCTGCTTAAAATCATCAGAATTGCTTCTTGCCTCATTGTCCCTTGTTCACCACTACTATGTGTGGGAAACATTTTTCTGTATACATTTGCTTCTTTTCACATTTCTTACTGCAGCCTATCTGATGCTGAAATTGCCCTAACTACAGTACCCACTTCTTGAAGCTTCTTGGCTTCCTGTCTCTTTCCTCAGATCTTCCCTTACATTTCCCATCAGGCTTCCCATCTATTTCCTCACATCTTATCCTTGCAGATCTTTCAAGAACAAGTTTTATCTTTATTTCATTCCATCGTATTCCTTTCCCTCTGTTTCATCTTCCTTCTTTTTACATTACTGGTTCCTTTTTCACGCACTATACTCAGGAGATAAAAATAGTTCATTTTTCCCACATGTTGTCTGTATTCTCCAGTTTTTCTAAGCTCATTGAATCTAGGGACATTATACTAGATATTATACAGTGTGTTCAGTGCAGGTATTCCACTTTCTTTTTCTTTTCCTCCACTTTTTTTCTTATGACAAGAAACATCTGAGTCAGAACTCACAACTGCTGTCATATCAGGGCAGGCTGGAGGAGCATCATTTCATCTTCCTTCTGAAGCTCAGTCCAGCATGGCACAGTGACACCTGACTGGCTCTAGAGGGAGTCAGACTGGACCAGCAGGGACTTTTTTGTGCCTCACCATTAGGTAGCAGCAGCCCTAGAGGAAGTCAGGAAACAACCTTAGTGATTCTAGGTTTAGGAGCAAAGAAGAGGTGGCAGCAGCCACAGGTCTGTGAGTGGATTTTCTTTTCTGTTGTTTATTGGTGCATTTCTTATTTAAAAAAAAGTAGCATCCTGGCTTGTATCAGAAACAGTGTGGCCAGCAGGACCAGGGAACTGATCCCTTCCCTGTACTCGGCACTGGTGAGGCCACACCTTGAATACTGTGTTCAGTTTTGGGCCCCTCACTACAAGAAGGACATTGAGTCACTGGAGAGTGTCCAGACAAGGGCAACAAAGTTGGTGAGGTTCTGGAGCACAAGTCTTTTGGGGGAACTGGAGTTGTTTAGCCTGGAGAAAAGGAAGTTGAGAGGAAGTTATTGCTCTCTACAGCTATCTGAAAGGAGATTGTAGCAAGGTGGGGGTTGGTCTCTCCTCCTCCCAAGTAATGAGTGATATGACAAGAGGAAATGGCCTCAAGTTGTGCCAGAGGAGGTTTAGATTAGATATTAGGAAAAACTTCTTCACGGAAAAGTTTATTAGGAATTGGAACAGGCTGACCAGGAAAGCGGTTGAGTCACCATCCCTGGAGGTATTTGAAAGATGGGAAGATGTGGCACTTAGGGACATGGTTTAGTGGTGGACTAGGCAGTGCTAAGTTTACAGTTGGACTTGATGATCTTAAAGGTCTTTTCCAACCTAAATGATTCTATTATTCTTTGACATGCTGTGTTGTTTGTTGCAGTGCCCGGTGCCCCAGGTGTCCCTGCCAGCAGCCCACCATGTACCGTCAACATCCCCATCGCCCCCATCCACAGCTCAGCCCAGGCCATGTCACCCACGCAGAGCATCGGCCTGGTCCAGTCGCTGCTGGCCAATCAGAACGTGCAGCTGGACGTGCTGGCCAATCCACCGACAGAAGCAGGGAGTGATGGGACGGGGCCCTTCCCCGGGGCACCAGGCCGCTTTACCGGCCCAGGGGCAGGGGCACTGGCCGGGGCAGATCTGGGCCGCGCCGCCCCTGTGCCCCCC